AATTAGTTAGTCTTTGATCAGCTCGAAGAGTACGTGTACATTTTACATGAGCAAGTAGTGCGAGCTCGGATGGTGTAGGTTTTCCAGCTACTCTTCCAATTTGAAAATGAAGGCGTTTGCTGCTTGAATTCGCGCGCGAATCTCCCGCCTAACGACCCCTGAAGATCTTCGAACTTCAATTTGAATTTTGTCTCTACTTCGGGGTAGCGTCTATGTCGATAGCGAAATGAAGATGTTTTTTTAAATCAGTTGCCAGATAAAGGTCGGATTAAATGCGTGATAAAAACGTTTTATGCGAAGTTTGATTTGACCAAATTTTGGTCAAATAAAAAAAATGCTGTTTTTATTCCGAAGTTTAATAACGAGTTTTATGAGAGGCGACCTTTCGATTAATTTTTTTTAGAAGGGTTGTAAGGCGCCCACTGCGCGACATAAGTGGATCGCTGTCACAGACCTAAATCTGGGACTCCATCTCAGAATTTAGGAAAGTGACTCCACCCGCAGTAATTTTGGAAGCACCGTCACTCAGATTCCTACTCGTACAAACAACGTTTGAAGAGGAGGCCAATCTTTGTTCTTGTGCTCGTCGTCGCCGCGGAAGGCAATGAACCAATGAAGAAGCGGTCACTAAGGCTGATCTTCACCTCGCTACACTTCAAAGCATCCTGCAAGATGATCTATGAATGAGTACGCGTAGGCACAACGCTACGCCGTCAACGCCATGACAAATTTGATATCATTAGCTATAAAGCGTCGATTCCATGGGCAACCTGGGCGTCGGGCGCTTTCACCTGCAAGTCGTTGTTGCTTATGCTACACTATCTCTGCTCGACGATTCCCGAGCATCAGGCTCGGATATGAAAAAGTACGCACCCCGCGCTATTATTGTGTAGCCGCGCAAGTTGTCGAAGTGACACTTGAAGATCGCAAAAATGCGTTTACGAAGCTGCATTTGGGATATAAGATATAACATTTTATTCCGTCTCAAATAATCAAGGTCCTTCCTGTTTGAGATTCCTACAAACGACGACGGCGGGAAACGCCGTTCCTCGGACCCGCAACATCGAGCCGTGCCAACCTGTTCAACAGTCAACAGCAATTAATACGCTACATCATCGCGCGCGTCAACAACATCAAATCATGTAATACGTTAATAGCGCCACAACATCATCAAGCCGCGTCAACAAATGAATTAAATAAGCATGAGGGAGGACTGCCGCAGGGCATGACCTTCAGTGGTGTAGGGCTTTGAAAACTAAAAGTAATGCTCAATCACACTCACTTCACAACTTCCTTCCGAGCGCGCAAACGCCATAGATGCCAATCCCGTCCAAATGCATGCGGAAAGTCCACCCTGGCATCCTCTTGGCTACTGTTGCCCTACTGATGAGCATTGGCTTGGCACTGGAGACTTCCAATCCGAAGACGTCTATTAGTACTACCCGACTTGAGACTTCCGGTGAGGAATCAAATCGCAACCAATACAATCGGCGCTTGAGGACGACGACAGCTGATGACGACTACGATTCTGAAGATAGAGGTGCTCCTGGTTCTGCGAAGGTGGAAGAACTCGTTAAAAAGAGTAACCTGCAGAAGCTAGGTGAGAGTATAAAGAGTGGGTTCAAGCCAGACAAGCAGGAAAAGGTTACCAAGCACTTCAAAACGCTAAAAGTGGATCAACCGGAGAAGTCTAAGATGTTTTCAAGCCGTTTATTTCATGAATGGATTCGCTATGCACGCAAAAAGTACAAGAACGATTGGCTAGAAGCGGACGCAGCGATGTTCAAGTCAATGGCGGAGTATTATGGTGACGACGTTCTAGCACGCATATTGGCTGATGCAAAACACTCGAGTGGAAGCTGGATCGTCACTCGGTTGGAAAAGATACAGCTTAGCAAGTGGAAGGATATTGGGAAAGATGCGGATGAAGTTTACAAGATTCTCCAACTTGACGCAGAAGGCGAGAAGCTTTTGCAGAGTCCTGCGTTGGGCACGTGGGTGAGTTATGTTTCAAAGCTGGGGAAGAATCCGATCGACGAGCTACAAGTAAAACTAAGCGCGCAAAAATATGACGACGCTGTAGTAGCGAAAATGATTGCTCTATCGAGGTACGATGTGAATAGCGACTTTGCTGCTGATCTGGGGAGGTCACTGCAGAAGAAATGGAAGGACAGCGACAATACTGAGAGCGGCGTATTTCACCTGTTGAAATTGGATGATGAAAAAACTGGTCTTCTGACAAATCCAGTGCTGGAATTTTGGATGCGTTATGTGGATAGTCTGGGTAAGGACCCCTACAAATTGCTATTGCTGGCAATCAACAGGAAAGGCATCAATGATGCAGGATTGGCGAGGATGGTCGGTTTAGCGCAAAAAGACAGGAATAATTACTGGATTGGCACGAACTTTGAGTCCCGTGTGCTTGACAAATGGAAGCAAGATGGAAAAAGTGGTAACAAACTTTTCACAATGCTTGAACTCGACAAGGAAGGAGATAAAGTGTTTGACAGCCCCGTTTGGAAGATTTGGACTTCGTATCTGAACAAAAATGAACAAGAACCTAACAAGATTATATATTCGGTACTGAGGGATAGATTCGACGATTCAAAACTGGCGACCCTTGTTTCGAGTTCGAAAGAGGCTGAGAA